TGTTTGATAATACTTCAGAGGGTTGTATGGCAATTAAATGAGATAATAAGGAAATATTGTGCAGCCCATAATTCATAAAGTAAACTTTTATTGTCAATAGTATGAGTGGCTTATAAATTGTAGCAGGTTAAAATAAGCCCCCTTTTTTTTTTTTGTGAAACCCTCTCTTAATTTACCAGTTTTTCTCTACTTTTACTATTAAATGGAGATAATGCCCTCTCTTGTAATTCCTACAATCCACATTTAATAAGCAACTATGTTGTACTCAGTCCTGTGCTAAGTAGAGACAAACATGAATGAAATATTTAAGCCCTTCATCTCCAAAAGAAAGTTAATATTTATTGGGAGATGAGGATATAAATGTGGAAAAAAATATAATATCACTTTTAAAGCAAATTTTGAGACAAATAAAATGGCCTCACAGCACAAAATAAAGAGCTCTAATCTCTTCCTTAAAAGTCTATTTTACTATTAATGTAACTACTATAGCTGCTACTACCACAACCACCACTAACAGCTATGTTTTATTAAGTGTTCCCTATGTTTCAGGTTCTTTACCAAACAAGTTATATTCATTGTCTGATTTAGTCCTCCAATAAACTTATGAAATAGGTATAGTCCTTCCAATTTCATCCATAAGGACAACTGAAGTTGAGAACTCTGCACAAGGTGTCAGAGGGAGTAGGAGAGAGAATAGGATACAAAGCTAGGTTTGTTGGACTCAAAAGCAAGTATGTGTTTCGTTGCTTCACTGAAGAGTTGATTGTTGACTGGGCGTTGAAATTCTAATAGCATATTTTTAAAGAAATTTTGGAGACAGTCTTACAAGCAAAGATAAATATTCTAAGTGTAGGTATTGTGTTTTCAAAGAATTTGGGATCTATGCAGAACTATGTGACTTCTTAACATGAACTTCAGAAATACAAGGAAATCAAACTTGGCACAGGTGGCAAAAGGCCCTCCAAGCTGAGGAGTTGAATATTATCATAAATGGAGTGATAAACTGAAGAGATTTTAAGCACCATTTTTCTCATTGAGGGAGAGAATAGAGAAAATTTTATAGGAGGAAATCTATGTGGAAGGTTATTAAAACAGTCTAAATAGGAAATGATGAGAAAAATAACTGAGTTAATGGGACTTGAAAATGAAGTGAATCTAACAGATATTTCTGAATAAGAAGCAACCCAATTTGATAAATTTTGGATTTGTTCTCAAAGGACCTGGGAAGTAGAGTAGCAGTAATACCAAGTGTGTAAGCTTTTAAAACTGTGTGATTGATAATGACAATGATGTCTTAGCCCTTAAAATTGTATGGTTGATAGTGAAACAGAGAATAAAAGAGATGGAACAGACTTTAGCATTTGTGAAAAATGAGAGTTTATTTTGGTCACATGAAGATTAAAGATTTGGGGGCTATCCAGGTAAGCTCCATAAGTAGTAATAAATATATAGCTTTGTGGTTTGGAAAGAAGATTGAGAAAATGTCTTTTGATAGTAGAAATCATTAGAATTAACAAAATAATCTAAAAAAGCATACATAAACAAGAGAAAAAGGAATTCAGGGACAAAACATTGGAGGCCATATTTAGAAGACTATCAAAAATAGAGAATAATTGTTAAAATATCAGTCAACTCTACCATGTGTTCAGGAGAAGTTCAGCAAGATAAAGAATTAAAATACACCTTTGGGTTTGCTTTTAGGAAAACATTTCTAATATTGGCAAAAAGATTTTCAGTTAATTGTTGTATGGAGGGAAGAGTGTATAAGAGTTAATAAAGTGGAGAGTATGAGTCTAGGCTTCTTTTCAAGAA